TATGACCAATTCAGTGCCGTTTGACATATTTCCAATATTCTAACTAAAATTTGTATTATTGGAATTCTATTCTTTGTAACAGTTTTAATGCTGAAGAGATGTAGGACGTGGAGGGACGGCCTAGGGGAAGCATAATATGATTTATTGCTTCCTATGTTGGAATGGTTCAGATGGGTTTTGCTCTTCCTTTGGAGGATTTTGATTTAACTAATTGTTGGTACTCGGTAGATCGTTGAGTTGACCACATTTAACCTCGGAGCTATCTGTCAGGTTTCTGCAGATGCAAGGGCGGTGTATCCATTATGCGCTGGCCTGAAAAATCCAGAATGCTTGTTTTACGAGATCCACTTTTCCAAAATGTTGTTGAGGACATGGTGTTGTGACCGGCGCAGGGTGTTGTGTTTAGGTATAGTGCTAAGTGCACAACACCAGGACCCACACGATTGGCATAACGCATACGGCTTCACACTAAAATTATCCTGGGTAGGTAGGAAACAGCCATGGCGGGAGAACTCCCGAGGAATCTGACGAGAAGGAGAACGGTAAGTAGGACATCGATCAAAATGAGCAGCGTGCATGCATATGTATAACTTTGACTCATTTCCAACATCTTACTCTCCCTCTGTCAATACTTCGTTGTCCTTTAAGCATGACGGCTTCCCACAATGGCTTGATTGATTACCGTCGGACAGCGATTTTAAAGGATAAACTCCAATCCTCCACTTGAGTGACATCTCATGACCTTCAAACACTACATATATAAACTCGTATATAAGGTAATAGCAGTATTCTGCTATCAAGACACTATTCATGAGCATGAGGCATTATTGAACGCCCACGGTTGCTACTATGTTATTGCCAAATCAGCTGTAATTACACAGAGAACCAATAAACGTTGCTTGGGACTAGGAATCATCCTCAATGTGTAAAAACTGGTGATCTCAAACTAGACAATACCAGCGCCGGCCGCGCCCGAACGCAGTTCAAGAATGAAATGTGTTGACATGACACTCGCGCTTTGATGGAAACCGAGCTTCTTTTTAATCATCGAGTTGCTGTTATTACCATGTAGCCATATTAACAAATAACACGATTTACGAATCTTGATTGTGAATGGGCCTGAGATTATGCTCATGTTGTTTTGCTCAGTAAGCAAAAACCGGTCGGTCTAAGGCCACCGAGCCCCTCATATCACATCATACCGTTACTCGAGTTGTTGCAACTATTCAAACCCGGCGCCGACGACAAGCTTCGGAAAATGATAAACATGCGATTTGACCATACATTTCTTTAATATGAAAAGATCTAGGACCGCGTTTTTCTGCTCAGTAAGCAAGCTACTGCAATCGACTATCTTTCAAATCCGAAAAATAAAAGCCACGAGAAAGTACTTGGGCCTTCATTAAGTTCCACTTTCATGCGACGTTCAATGTTTCGATTAGCTCTTTACGCATTGTTCAGGCTATCATAACAAGCGATGTTTGTTTAAGTCCTGGTTAAACAAGCTATTCAAATGAAATTACGTTCTCGAAAGCAGTATCGCTTTTCTTATGTTCTAAATGAAACCGCGAAACAAACGGATTCTTTTGAACTGGAACAAGCTCACCAAATACAATCACCATTGTAATCCAACCTTCAACCAATTTTGGAAAATATCGAAAATAAATAAAAGGAAAAAATATACACAACCACATAAAAACACATAAACAGGGAACATGGCACTTCCTAATACAAAACCAACTTGCCACCGAGTTCATTAAGAAATATCAGCAACAACCATTGTTATCTTACACTGAAGTTGACAAGCGCCCAGCAATTTACCCAGTGAAGCTTATCCAAAAGTATCCCTTCTTCCTTCTTTCAAGAGTTTTTAATTTTAATATTAAATTTGATTTAAATTAACTTCACAATTCAAAAGGCATTGTGACTACTTCTCCGAGTCTTGCCACTATTAACAAGGCCTAAAAAGTAACAAGGACTAAAATGTGTTCCTTTGATTACCGAAAAATCCTGCTCCCCTAGTTTGAACTTGTCAGGACTAGGGTTCGGAGGTAGATCTTATACCAGTAACGCACTACTAAAAGGTGATCTACCAGCGTTACTGGTGAATATGGTGTACTATTCATTACAGGGGGGGGGGGGGGGGCTGGTAACATCGACATCGCAATTTTAGATAGTCGAAAAATCTCACTACTTTCAGAAGGTCACAACTAGCGATTTTATGATCGCTGATTGCACGCTCATCGCGTTGCTCATCGTTACAGCTAATCGCTAGTTGTGACCCATTGTTTCATAATACCGAAAAATAGCATTTTAGCTGTTATGAGCAATTGCAAGCCTGATTTATTTATTCGTCAATCAATAACGTAATTATTCTTTTTCTTCTTATTCGCATTTTCAAGCTTATTGCTTAGCGCATATTACCGTATGCGTGATAATGTTTGCACCATCGTACAAATAAGGTTCCCGTTTCACCTGTACATACAATGCCTTGGTTTTCTTTGCATGCACGTAACCTATAGCTCATACCGTAGTAGGCTGTGTATAAAAGAAAATGATTTACTTAGTTTGACAGTTGCACCATGACGAAGTGGCAGCGTATTCGTGATTTGTCCCACGCGCAAATGTCGGAAAAAGACATTTCAATCGCCGTGGGAGTGTCCCGGTGGACCGTCAAAAGGGTTTTAGACCGAGAAAAGAAAGGACAACTATCCGCGCAGGTGGCCACAGGTCGTCCGAGGTCAGCTCGGGATCCGAGGGTTATCACTGCTATCAAAAGGAAGATTCGGGTGAATCCAGTGCGTTCAATAAGGAAAATGGCAACGGAACACGGGATCAGTGACTTTACGGCACGGAAGATCGTAAAGGAAGATTGCGGGGCGAAGTCGAGGGCACGGAAAAAAAACTCAAATGATTACCAACCGCATCCGGGAGCTACGAGTCGAACGATGTAAGAAAATCTTGAACTTCTTTAAGCGAAAAAATCCGGTAATCCTGTTTACCAACGAGAGCATGGTTACCGTCGATCCCGTATTAAATTCCAGATTAGTTCTCTTCCGGTAAAAGACGTGGCCGACGAGCACAAGAACGTGTATCTGACCAAGCATCCTGCTAGCGTTATGGTTTTTGGATTGGTGGCTTCCGATGGCAAAAAAATGGGCCCGGTGTTCATTCCAGAAGGCAACAAGGTCAACACGGAGGTCTACATCGGGATTTTAAGTAAGTATGTTCTTCCGTGGATCAAAGAACAGTACGGTCCGAAGCCAAATGTTGTATTTCAACAAGATGGGGCTCCGTGCCGCACCTCGAACCGCACTCAGAAGTAGTTGCAGGAACATCTTCCGTTCTGAGCGAAGGATATGTGGCCGCCATCCAGCTCGATCTTAATCCGCTGGATTACTCAATATGGCGCGTCATAAAGCCCTGTTCTAAACACCACCCTCAGACAAACATTGACCCATACCTGGAGAGAAATGGATCCAGACTACATTATTAGAACCTGCCGTGCATTCCGGAAGCGTGTGGTGGCCGTAATTGCAGCAAGTGGAAACCCGATCGATGATTAACATAGTTTAAGACTCTGAGAAACATCCTCCCTTTGAATAAATAAAAAAAAAAACTCGAAAACGAAATTTTTGAGATTTTTTTTTTAATTTTGACATTGCTCAATGGTGCAAACATTATCACGCGTACGGTAGATTATTGCGTGCTCTCAATTTAGTGTTCAACTAAATGCACTTCCACAGTTATTAATTGAGAGCTTTCGATGCCAATACCAATGCATGAATTTATATATTGTATGGCAAGCACAATGATGTTCTATGCCCAGGGAAGTCGAGAAAATTTCCAACCCGAAAGATTCCTTCGACTGGACCGGGAATCGAACCCGCCGCCTCCGGCTTGGTAATACCGTGCATTTACTGACTAGGCTATGAGGCCCCTATAACGTAATTATAATAACATTATAACACAGACAAACAGACATAACACATTGAATATTTTTCACTATATAACATCGTCGCTAAAACACTACCGCCATCTGTTGAGTATACTGTGGTGAGCAGTACGCTGAACAGATGGCGGTAGTGTGTAAACGCAAGGGAATTGACTATGCGCGCCACAGGTGGCGATACTACCAACTGAATTGACCGTTCAATGCGTGTTCGATGAACAACTTGCGAGTGTTATGTCTGTTTGTCTGTGATTATAACTTATAATCTATGATTTAGCAGTGCTTTTACATACTTTTTTTCACAGTGTAGATTATAAACAGCCATCATCTGACTTATCGGTTCACATTTAGCGTAGTTAGAACGGTGGAGATCTACCGCGGACAAACGTCGATTACACGAGAAGGTACATACAGATTAAGTCTTTTCTAGCCATGAATCGGAAAACAGATGATGGCTCTTCTCGTGAATTCCCGGGAATTGGCATGAGCATGATTGACCGCCACGGTGGCTACTCCACTATTGCAGGATCACCTGTAATTACACAGAGCACCAACTGATGATTGCTCATTCTCAATGTGTAAAATTTTTAAAATAAGCCATACCAATGCCAGCCGCGTCCCGGATGTACGTCAAGGGATGGCTAGGAATGTGTTGACGTGTGACATTCGCTTTGTTGGAAGCCGAGAAATTCTAGCCCTGTTACATGAATTCATCCAGCTGGATAACCGCGCTGGTGCTGGCTGCTCCGATGGCGATATCCTCTGACATCCTGACGTTATGCACCTTTTTTGCTGTGTGTATTGGTGAGAGTCCTACTTTTCGCGGCATACCCACAATATGCGAGGGGTGAACATTTCGCAAGCGACAGCGAGAGTGCGAGAGCGCATTTTCATCCCCTTTCGTTTTCGCCGCTTTTCTCGATGGCCTACTGAGGTTGAGGATGAGATCTTCGTTCGACGTGCTCTCGCGTTGTTCGCTGAACCACGATTTGTGCTCGCTCACGGTAGGCGCCTATCTACATAAGGGTGCGTTGTATTTTCCTGTGGGCCGTGGCACAGCCAGTAGGGCGAGAAAGTTTTTCGCGATTTGCAAAAATTGGTTTCTAAAGTTTTGATTGTTTGATGAATGTTGAAAAAACGCCTCCAAACTAACATGATACAATTTGTGATCAACTAGTGCTAGTACGGGTACGATTGAGCGCCCACGAAAAGGGGCGTAATTACCAAACAGCGTTGATTTTTTTTTGTTATCAATTCAATGACACTACTATAAAGGCACATTATTTTTGGTGACTGTTTTCTGATTTGGTGAAGTTATGCCGTCAACCCTAATAGCAGTTTAGCCAGTCGAAAGTTTGTGCTTTTTGGAGTGATTAATACGATACTTGGTTTTCGTACGCCACGGCATACTGCTTGTATGAGCGATTGTCGATGCTTATCTAGGGTACCTACGCGAGAGGAAAAAGTGTTTCAATTTTGCATCAACTAGAACCAGAGCAGAGCGGTTGGTTGCGGTCAACAATCAATGTTCAGTCTAAATACGAACGCGGTGCATGAAAAGTCGTCGTCGTCGTCGTCATCGTCGTAGTGAGTAATTAACCGTGCAATAATTTCCATAGCAAGCGGTGCAAACGAGTCATGCCGACTATTGTGCATTCTGTCAAGGATTACTTGGATAGTGTAGAACGTTTGCAGAAATGTAGTGATGGTGCTTCTATCGTATACCACTAACCAGCGAGTTATATAAGTCGAGTGATATTTTGGCGACGGTTCACAAAAGGACCCATATTTAATGACACTGGAAATCGATTACCTCATATTGCGATTGCGAGTATAAGACACACAAAAAAACGCAAGATCGAGACGAACAAAAAACTAAAATACACCCTAATTAGGAGCCAATAGATGTCCGCCCACTTTCCTGTTGTCTCTTCCGCACTAGCCTACTTATCTGAATAGGAATTCTGAATAGAAGACAAAAACATCAATAATCCACATTTATTGGAAACGGGAGCTGAGACTGAACCTCATCAAAAATTTGAAATGCATCGATCATGAGATTCCCCAAGGTATCGCCGAAAAAGTGTTTCTTTCTTGTTTTATGTTTCGCCGTTCTCGTGCTACTAGTTTTCAATTTGAGGTAAGTTTACTACCACCGCCGCACAGCCTGCTGTCAACTAGCCACCCTCTACAAATCGGTACCACCTCGCGCCTACTACGACTCGTGTGTTGTTTTCAACCAAATGAACTACTCACGACAACTCATGACGCTTTCATGATTGTTAATAATTTAGTTCTGACGATGAATCGGGTGCGTGAGAGTAGTATCGATTTTCCAAAACCCGACCCCCTCCACAACCACCGTCATCATAAAATACCCCTTACCTACTATCGTTATTCGACACATTATTCCCCAACTCCAACGGAAAACTTTCAACAAGCGCAGTGGCCGCGTCTCGGAAAAATAATCAAATTCTTCTCGTTCTCTGTTTATCCCCACGGTACAAAATTCACCGAAATGGATCGTTGCAACCAACTTGTAAATATGGAAAATGTGGCTATGATCTACAATACAACAAAATACAACTTACACGTGAAGAGAGTTGAACAGTAAAGCCACGCATCCCATCTACAATCGGGATGAGTACCAAGTGGAGTACAACAACCAGGATCACGTCAAGGATGAGGTAATTATAAGTTGATTTGAGATTTTATTCTCTTCCATTCACACATGATTTAATTGTATACAAACTTCGTTACCGCCCACAAATGAGCATTCACGATCAGTAATAGAATAATAATGGAAAGCAATACAAGAAAAACTGGAAGAAGATGTTATGAAAACAATTGTTTCCGGTAATGTTAGCCCTTGGCACAGATAGATTTTTGTTGTTCTCCGAAAACTAACTAGGTATCAAAAATAATTAATTCTATATATTAACTATGAAGCACTCCGAAATGAGCGGGAAGGTCGATATAATCGTGACAACAGTTGTTATCATAGTAGACATTGACTTTCAACGAATATGACATCAGTGTCGCCAAGGGGAAGGAGGGAGGGTTTAGAGTTCAAATCCTCCCCAGAACCTTGAGGCAAATGTAGAATGATTTTATTATTGTAAAATGTGAGTCAACTTTTACACTATTTCATATGTACAAAATGTGAATCAGAGCGGTTTATGCTATTGGCCACTTTTCTCTCAATCTTTTTGTATGAAAAATATAGGTAAAAATGTGTTTGTGCCCCCCGATGAAAAATGTCCGTTGTAGTAGGGATTTTTTTTATTATTATCGAACAGAAGGGGCCGAAGGGCCTCAGAATTTTATGAAATTTTCTCACAGGTAGAGTTTATGGTTATGAAAAAAAAAAAAATTCCCGGGAAATTTTAGTTGAAGTTTTCGGATTTTCGGATTTTAGAAAAAATCATGGCGAAGTGAATTGGGAAACGTGATTTTTGGTTGAATTTAGTATTTCATTTAGAAGTTTAAATAAGTAATGACTATTTAATGGTAGAATGACAAACATGAGACGGACATGAATATGTATTGCGCATTGAGTCGGAGCCAAAGCGGGATCCATCGTCTTTTTGGACCTACGTGAAGAAACTTAGGCGGAATGGCGGTATACCACTCGATGTGTCCTATAAAGAAGCTCGTGCTCACTCCGCGGAAGAAGCTTCTGATCTCTTCGCAAAATTCTTCAAGGATGTTTTTTCGACTACCCCTCTCGCTCATTCTCCGGATGATCGTCGTGACTGGATGAGCAGCATAGCTAATTACAACTTGCATTTGTCGCAGTTGGATGTATCTGTTGAAGAGGTGATGAAAGTTCTTTCATCTGTAGATCCTTCTAAAGGCCCTGGTCCTGACTGTTTGCCGCCATCGTTCATTAAGAAATTTTCTGCATTTCTCGCTTCACCTGTGTCGATTATCTTCAATCGTTCGCTAGTTAGTGGTGTTTTCCCCCACAATGTGGAAGGTTGCGTCCATCACACCTATTCACAAAGCTGGAAACATCCACAACGTTGAAAATTATCGCGGAATTTCGATTCTAAGCTGCCTCCCAAAAGCTCTGGAGAAGATCGTATATGAGGTCGTATATCAAGCGGTTAGGCCAATAATTACCGAACATCAGCATGTCTTCGTGAGGAAACGCTCTACAACAACCAACTTAATGGTGTTCTTCAACTCGCTGATCAACTCCATTGAAAAACGACGACAAGTTGATGCGATCTACGTGGACTTCAGTAAGGCGTTCGATAGGGTTCCACATGTGCTTGCAGTGGACAAAATGAGGTGTATGGGATTACCTAATTGGGCCACGAAGTGGCTACAGTCTTACTTAACTGACCGCTCAGCCTATGTGAGCATAAACGGTGTTAATTCGCCTAGTTTCGAGATACCCTCTGGTGTTCCCCAAGGTAGCCATTTGGGGCGATCTGTGTAGTCGACTGTGTTCTTGGAAACTTATGTTCGCCGATGACTTAAAAATCTTTCGTACAATTAAGTCAAGACTTGACTGTTGCGCACTCCAGAAGGATATTGATTCCCTTTTGCGCTGGTGTACATTGAACGGTATGCAGCTTAATGTCACAAAATACTGCGCAATATCTTTTAGCCATTCACGCGAGCCCTTACGACATGACTATAGGATAGGACTCTGTAGTTTGCTCTTCGTTTCTTCAGTTAAGGATTTGGGTGTTATCATCGACTCTAAAGTCAGATGCAATGAGCACATCTCCATGATAACTGCTAAAGCATTCGCCACATTAGGTTTCTTGAAACGAATCACAAACGCATTCCAGGACATCTACGCGCTGAAATCACTATACTGTGCTCTAGTCCGCAGTCTTCAAGAGTATGCTGTTGTTGTGTGGGCACCCTTTCACGCTATTCAAGTTAAACAGAATCGAAACAATTCAGCGAAACTTCGTAAGATACGCTTTACGTGTTCTGCCCTGGAACGATTCGGTAAATTTGCCGCCTTACGAAGAACGGTGCAGGCTGATTGACCTGGACACGTTGGCAGCAAGGAGGAAACTACTTCAGCGACTCTTCGTGTTTGGATTGCTTAACGGTGACGTGGATTGCAACTCTCTTGTGAGCCAAATCTACATCAATGCTCCTCAAAGAGTTCTACGTAGTTACACGCTTCTGTGGCAACCTACCTATCGGACCAACTATGGATTCAACGAACCATGGACTTTGTGCTGTCGTGTGTTTAATGAAACGTTTGATATATATGATTTTAACATTAGTAAGTCTACTTACAGACATAGAATTCGACACCTAGCCTAGAAAATATCTGTACAACATTATGTTGAAGATTTAATTCAATAAATAAATATGTAGATCACCATGGGGGATTAAACTAGCATTTCGGCACATACAATTTCACATACAATGCTGGGTGATTTTACCCCAGGGGTGCATTATGAACTGTTCTCCCCTACGGAATGTTTAGTACTCAGTCTTTCTGATGAGATGGAAATTATTATGATTTATTGTAAAAAAGTGACACTCAATTTGATTGCAAACCGTGATCACATGGACAAAAATACGACCGAAAAAAACCCTATCTAGGTACATCACGGTGTGTACGTGAGCTGTGTAGGCTTTTATTCAGTATAACAGCAGACAGAGAGGAGCATGGAACTGGAGAATAGTTTATCGTTGCTTATCGAAGTAGGCGTAATTCGAGAAATCTGTGTGTATTTCTGCTGTAGGAGGCAATTCCAACCAAATCTTTCTCTAAATGATAAATGAAAGTATCGCAAAGCGGAGTCAATTTGGTCAGCGGGATGTGTTTGATAACTGACTTGATTTTTATTCAAGTGCAATATTGTTTGTTGTTTCAGGGCGTAAGAATGCATTCTATTTCAACATCATGGGACATAAACATTATCATATTTAAACAAAAACAATAAGAAACCTCAGTTACCAATTTATTGGACCTCGTTTTACGGTACCATCAATGTATCAGTCTCCGATCAAGACCCACTCTTTTTTATGATTCAATGTGCATATTTTTCGGAGGTCTATGAATTACTCTATTACATGGCGGCTATTACATCTTCAATATAGGAATTTTATACTACGTTTTTTTATAGCTAATTTCTACTTCTTTCAATCCTAAGCAGTTTTTTCTAGTTTAACTGTTTTTATCTGAAGAAATGCCTAGTTGAAGATATTTCAAAAGAGATTTTTCCTTCCTTTAAACTTGAGCGGTTCTTTCCAGGTATATTGAAGCAATAATTGTTGACACCTTGGATGAAATATGCTCCAACATAATTTAGCCTACTTTTTGCTACTACCGGAATAATACAGATGCCAGATGATGAAATGGAAACAATTATTAAAATTTCGGCCTAATGACTCATTCAGCCTAATGACCCATCACCATAATTATTACCTCCAAAACGTTTGCAATGTTTCTTACTATAATATACGTATACGTCTATCAACATAAAAAGATTCGAGACTCATCCGTATAGATGGCGCAAAAATCGAACTTTTTACTCTGACATTTCAACGACTTTACGTCTTTTGAATCTTAACAAAATAAACAACTCTGCTGAAGACGTCAATGTTTCATAGCCTACTGTTTTCGAGTTATTAGGAAAGCTGAATTACTTGACGGAGCCCCAAGGGTGCAACATAAATTCGTGACGATGGTATTTAGACTGCACGCCTGTCCCGTTGCCGAGAAGTGTGCTTGTTCACGGCATCGCCACCCACTTTGCACCGTTGGTGTTCTGACAGTCAATAACTCTGAAACAATGCAATTTCGTGACTTGGTGTCTTCAGCAAAGTTTCTCAGTATAATATGGACCATCTATTGACATAAACATTTAGTTTTAAAACTCATCCACATAGATGGCATTATCGATCTTTTCTCCCTGAAATATAAGAATGACATACATCGCATTGAAGGGTGTCCACAGTTAAATTGCATCACTTAGAAGTACTCCCTAAAAAATAAGTCTCTCAACCGATTGTCATGAAATTTTCAGAGAATGTAATACTATACAGAAGCTTGGGTTACGTATCTTTATTCCACTATATTTCTTCACAGACACCAAATACCCGAACTTTGTTCTTAATTCCACCCATAAAATTTTGTACAACGATTGAATCGGCAATCAAGAACTTTGTGTATTTGGGTATGAAAAGTGACGTAGTGGCAGAAAGAATCGCTTCAGCTCATCACCTGAAGCATTTCATGGAATACGAAAGGAAGAAGATCTTGATTCCAATTTACGTCGAGAGCAGTGCGGTCGACGTGCACTTACATGATCTTCTGGACGACATGGATAATATGGCTATCATTGATCATATGCGTCAGTATGGTGAAGTGATAGCCATTAGAAGCGAAGTCTGGTAATGGAGTGCGCGTTGTAAAAATTAAGCTTACTCTCCCCCATCCCGTCGTACATAACCGTCGACGACGAAATTACGATGGTATCCTACCATAATCAGGTAAAAACATGCCGTAATTGCGGGTGCAAATCCCATACCAAACAACTTTGCTCTGAGGTGGCAACAGCAACTGCAAATGAGGACAATAATCCCCCAACTGATCAGCAGAATAGAAGCATCAACAACAGTAACAGCGTGAACAGTGGAACCAGCAACATCAATAAGACCAAACACTCCAACAAACAACAATCAAACGCAGCCAACGGTA